CCACCCCCCCCTCTTCTTTGTTGCATTTCTAATTAATCTTGGAAGCTCCTCTCATAAACCCCTCGCTTAACCTTATAAAACCCTCACAAACCAAGTCTATCGTAATGCAGCCTCTTTTCATTTCATAACCCCTAGTGTATACGACATCTTAATGATAGCAGCTTTCTAGTTGACGTCCTAAACCACATCATCCTTTCACCAAGAGAAATAAGATATTTCTCAATGTTACAATCATTTTGATCATGCGTTTATTCTTCAGACACATCTTCCTTTCTGCTGTGCTCCTTTCATTTTGAATGTGTTGCTCTCTTCGACCAAAAAATATGCTTTTACGCAAAACACTCGCCTAGATGTATAGCATCATTGCCTTAATACAAAGAGTAGAGAAGTTAATTGCACAAACTGATGCCAATGGGGCCAGTAGAGCAATTGCTACTTCAATGAAAAGAGACCACTCATCTCACACCAAACTATCTCCAACTCATCAATGAGTTGTATGAGAATCTTAATGAGCCTACGTAACACACTCATTCATGAAAAGTTGAATACTGAATTTCAAATTAAAAGCAAAAAAGAGTGAAGATACGCAAGAGTAGAGAGAAGGGGAAAAGAGCATGATCAACCTATTGTACATCTACTCAAAATAGAGCAAGCAAGTAAAGTTCTAGTACATATGCTCAACACAAAACTATCTAGAGAAGTTGCTTTGCTCTGCTATCTGAGCCAAGTTTTACATCAAGTGTATACCATCTGCTACCAAGAGATTGCCAATGCCCGGAGTTAAGGCCTCAATTGACAAACACCTTGAACAAACAAGGAGAGTGAAACACCGAAGAGCGTTATAAAATAATATCGAGAATTGTTTAGTGTCTCAGTGCTCCCGCATTAAGTTCATGAATGCCTACATCAAGGCCTCAAAAAAAGCAGCATTCATAACACACTTATCCAGTCCAAGCCAAGAGGCCAACCCAAACATACCACCATTATGATCATAATAACATTCTTGACTAACTCCTCATCAAGGTCAAGAAAAGTTTTGTCCCCTACACAATGGGTAGAAGACCAAACCCCTCCCAAAACAGCTAGTTTCGAATATGATCATCTAACTAACAATTATCATGATTCTAACAGAATCATCAAACTTGATTCTCACAGATTCTATTATCAACATGACCTTGATTCTCACAGATTCTATTATCAACATGACCTTGATTCTATCATCAAGCTTGTTTCCCACCATCAGTTCCTTCAGAGAGAGAGAAAAATACTCTACAAAATTGAAATGCTCTAAACAAAGAAGTGGTTCTCAAACCATAGTTAAAAAAATAATATATGGTAATTGTCCCCAGAATAAAATCAACGCTTATGACTTTAATCAACAGTGCTATCAAAAAGAAGTAAAATTCCATTTATACTAATCATTTAACTAAGAAGCATAATGAGATTAGATTTGCTAGGTTGGGATAATCAAATTGGTTGGACAAGCCTTCTGTTTGGATTTGACTGAGAGAAAATTAGTAAATCAAATAATTAATCCTTTTGCTTTTATAGGTTGGGATAATCAAATTGGTTGGACAAGCCTTCTGTTTGGATTTGACTGAGAGAAAATTAGTGAATCAAATAATTAATCCTTTTGCTTTTATAAAGACAAGCAAGCATGGCTATCTTAGAATGTGTGCATGGAGTAAGTGAGGATGGATGCAGTTTAACATGTCTGAGAAATAGGATGTGGGAATTCGTACAAGGCTTAATTTTGATGAAATTGAGAGTGATATGGTGACATATAGGATACAGTTAAAGTTCGAATGAATCCAAGTAATTTTGCATATGATTTTGTTGAACATTTGAACTTGGGTGAAAAATACGTGATTTATAGGTTTGATAAAGATTTAAGTGGAGAGAGAAAAGGATGGGGGAATCAATCGGAGGGGCAGGGACAAGTAAAGGAGAAAAATCAAAAAGAGGAACTCCTCAATAAAGAAGTGATGGGAAAAGGTTGAGTTGAGGAATTGAAGTAGAGATTGATGCAAAATGTTGTGGAAAGATAAAATAAACCATGAACAAAGCAAAAGGATTCTAGGGTCTGCAAACTAAAATTTTGGGAAGAAAATAAGGTTCAATACACAGCATAGCAACTAGGAAGGAATCATATATTACATGAGTAGAACAAAAGCAATATCATGAAACATTCACTAAATAACCAAACTTCCAAATTGCACGAGCCTAGGCACTCTTTATAATAATAGGCTTTATTTTAAACGTAAAACTACTAAAAAACAAATCAATAAAAACTATTCATAAACGACAAATGATAAATAAATCACTAACAATTGGTATAAAGACAATTAAAGACACAAAAACATTAAACAGGACAAAATAAATGACTCATCAGGTTGCCATCAAGAACTTGGCACACGATTGACAGCTTGAAGTCCTTCAAAATTCAATTTTAAGGTCTATTATCAAACCCCATCCACATTAATAATGACTAAATGAGGATAAGAGCAGCCACTGATTGATATATCTTTTACAAACATGCACACATACACACATACACATGGTCAATTCGCATAAGATCCATTAAAAAATATCATAATACAAAATGACCTTTGACCAACAATATGTTATTTTATTTCCTACCTTTACAAAAAAAAAAAAAAAAAACTTACAATACCAATCATCTAAAAAAGAAGCTCCAAAGGCTTTAAGAACTAATTTGCTTTTACACAACAATTTTGAAGTAAATGCGGTCATCCAAGAGACGAGTTTCATTCAAATGAAAAGGTCATTAATTATTTAACAAAAATTCACTTCTAACAAATAGAAATATTGTGTTTGCTTGGCTTGCAATAAGTTTCATTTTATCCGCGAACCAACTAACTTTATACTATATTATTACTACAAATAAATAATAATAATAATATTCTAACCCACCATCCTACTAATATATATAATTCTATTAGTTTTAGACATCCAAAGTAAATATGAAGGCAACATTTTAGCCCTCACATTGTTATGGAGTTAAAATAAAAACTTACTTTCATTCATGTTCTACCAGAAAATGCTTGAACTCAGTTCCAGAAGAGAGTTCCAATCAATTCAGCCACTTAACTCAAAAAAAAACCCAAGTCCTAAGTGGCAGAAAATGGGAAGATAATAAGTAGAGCAAGGCTTTTACCCAGCCTGGATCGCCAATTTTCTACTTTGCTTTGCCAATAGGTTTTAAAGAACTAATTTAATAAAATGTTTGATTCTCGGTGCAAAAGTCTACTTTTCAATCTCCCAAAAACTCACTTATCCCAAATCTACAAGGAAAAGTTTGCACTGTAAACAAACAATTAACCACCAACTTAGATGGACATCTAATATCCTTGTAAAGTAAGAAAACTTTCATAAAATAAACGCATAAATTTTGTGCTTTCAGAAAGTACCATGTTTGAAGTCAAATGCATTGCGAGTTCCATAGGCCTCCTTAATCTTTTGGCTGGTCCATCCAATAAGCATTTTGTAGTACATATTTGCTTGGATTGTTAGGCCTGTAGAGAAAGAAACAATTCAAAAATAAACACCTACCAAGTTAAACGTTAAGCACAAAGTTATAAAGTTACCACAATTATGAAAGTTACGTAATGATCATAATTCGATCAGTCAGTCTTTTTCAAAACCTTTCCCCTGGATTCAACACATCAGATTTGAAGATATACTTATAATGGAGTGAAACCAAACCACATTAAGAAAATCAGATATTATAATTGGAAGCAAATAGAAGGTTACAATCAAAAAAACCTAAAAGGGAAAAAAAACACATACACGACATGCAAACTCACGTTAGGGCGGAACCTGGGTGATGGTGGTGATGGTTAGAGGGATTGGCAAGGTGGCGGCGATTTAGGGAAGGGGTTTTTGGAGTGTGGAAGATGAGTGGCCACAGTTATGGGTGGCTGGAACAGCGGTGCAGCAAGAGACGGCAGTCCAAACTGTACCAGTTTGCTGTTTGGGGTGGATGAACAGCAGGAAAACAGCAAGGAGAGGTATGGCGGGTGCAGCAGCAACGGTGGAGGGCTGAGACAGCGAAGGCAGAGAGGATGGAGGGACTGTAGAAAGGGAAGTGACTGGAAAGAGGAGAACTGCAGAAAAGAACAGCAATGGCAGCTATCCTAGACGGCTGCAGCGAGGAACGAGGCATGGCAATAAAGGTCAAGGGTAAATACTCCCTCGAGAACGAGCTACAGCTGGAGCACCACTCGACCCTTGGAAGAAAGTCACCACCTCAGTCAGAGCACCACCTGCTATTGGATACAACCCTAGAGGTGAGAAATTGTGATGACGACGACTATCCTGAACATAAACACGAAAAAACCGACCTAAAACATAAAAAAATAGTTATAAACTTAGGGTAAATAGGAGTTAACCCCACTCCAAATAGAATGAAAATCCACATAAAGGAAGTCTCAACCAGCACTCCTAGACTGATCGAACCACAAACTCCCGCACCAAATCGTGTGGCATGATTCGGCATGCCGCGACATGTCTCTCGCGCTCGCTTCTACTCTCTTGTATCCCACATAAAAAGAGACACTCCCACGTCAATCTCCCGAGACTGAGGAAGCTTTGACCTCATCCATCAAAGCTTATGTCTCCTCATAGTCGTCAGGTTGACCTTGTTGAAGGTAGAATAAATTACAAAATCTCCTGACAAGTGAGTCCTGCAAGCGCTGACATTCACAACACATCATGATATAATAAGTATGCATCATCTTTTGGCACAAGTTGAACCGAAGCTGCATATAGATGTAGATTCCTTCAATATAACTCTGGAGCCCTTAAGTCTGAAACCCTATTCTTCTTCTACTTCTCATACTCAGCAAAAACTAGTTGATAACCAAGTTTTTCAAGAGGAATCAACTCTGGAATGATATCTAGGGCAGGCTGGGCAACACAAAGGCATAACCACTCAGGAAAGGCTACGATATTGTGAAATGTGTGTCTGCAAGAAAAGCTGATTACTATGATTCAGGTTGCGGAGATATGTTACCTTATGCAAGAAAGTAAGTCGACGGGTTTTCCTTTAAATGGGTTATTAGTGTAAATCTGATACATGTCAGGAGTTATAAGAGATGAAGATGATATGATATGAGTGTCGACGAGTTGAGGGTGATGACTGCCGTGTAATGTGCCACCTGATTGACTATTCTGACAGTTTTTACTAACATATGATATGATATTGTACCTGTTTTACTAATGATTGGTACAGGGAAAACACCACTATGATTAACCAAATCACTTAAGTTGTATAATATATGAGTGATGATTGTTGTGCTTGATAACATACATTTTATAGATTGCTACTATTGTGATTTGATACAATTTTGCAGGTATATCTTTTAGAGTATACATATGTATGTTCAGTGACCTATAGGTTTACTTGTTTAGCCTACATGACATGACTATGATGCAATCATACATATCATTCTAGTTTCGTGCATCGATTTAAGTTGTAAGTTTTGTGTAACCTACTAAGTTGTTCGCATACTCTGGTTATTTTTACAGTTTTTCAGGCAAAGGTAAAGATCCAGTAGAGTGAGCTGCTAGGACTTGTTAATAAAGATATATTTTAATAAATATATATATATGATAAATCTGTATGTTTTGTTAGGAATGTTTCAAAATCATGATCAATGCATATAAATATTTTGGATGTAAATATTTTTTATGTATATAAGAAAAATAAAATGATACTAATATTTAGCTTTATTTTTACAATATTATTGGTGCCTTAAAAATAAGTGTCAAGGACATATATGTAATTATTCAAATTGTTTGGCTTAAATTACAAAGTTTATTGTTGGCAAGAATTTTTTGAAATAATTTAAAATTAAATTAATTTGTAGTATGATATAATTTTAGAAAATAATATTTTAATTTTGAAAAGTAAGAACAAATAGATCTCACATATTTGATAGTTTTGAAGGTTGAGCACGGTATCACAAGTATTACACTACCCTGAGGGATATGCATATCACTTGTTGGTAGGCTTACTCACTTAAACTAAAGAATTTGTGATGTCTGTTTGGTCTGCAAAATCTTTTATGTATGACCGACAAGTTCTCCTACCTAATATAAAGGATTAGATAGAGTTTATTTTTTTTTGGGTTCTTAGTTTCCTAGCAAGCCCCTATAGTTAATTACATCTTAAATAACTGAAGTAACCTAAGAAAACTCTCGATCAAGATTAGTGGTTCTGTCTTCAAGAACTCAAAGTTTAGGTTTTCAAAATTAGACACATGAAAGTGAAAAGGGAAGTGGTCAAAATAGGAACAGTTATTTTCAGAAATAAAATAAATGAAAGGTAAGGGAGGTCACAGATCCAAGTGAAACCCCGGTGACTTCCCAACTATTCAATTGTTTGGTTTTATATTTTAGAGGTGAAGTTATTTAATGTTTAATCCTATCGATTTTTATTATTAAGGACTTACATTTGTACGATACTTGATCGTGCAAATAGTCTACGAAGATAGAAAGATTTACGCCGTAACAAATAACAATCTCGAAATCCTAAAGAGGTTAAGATTTACGCTGCACAACATGATTTTGTAGAAACCTAAAAGATAATGAGGGATTTATGTCGTGCTAAGCAGACTAGCACGAAGTCTAATGGATTGATATTTAAACTAATGAAAAGGTTTAGCTGATGTACACTTGTTTTGCTGTTGTAGATCGTCATCCTTCATCCACTGTATCTTCGTCGTGCTGCCAACGAAGGCTTGTTTCATGCTTCACGTAGTAGTAGTTTCGGGTTTAGTGTTTCATAGTGATCCACCCTAGGTAAATCGACTATTGTTCTCTACTCTGAAGGTCTTTCAGTTAATTTAGAGCATGCATAAACAAGCTATGCTATAAGGAAGTGCAGTAAAGAAAAACAGTAAGTAAAGAAAAATAATAAAATGCACAGTACAGATAAGAAAATATAATAAATATAAAATAAACATGTGTACCAGGCGTGTTTGCTGCTCCTGTAAATGGGGTCGGTGTCGCAGGTGAAAATAAACAAGTATAGTAGAGAAGTTAGCAGTTGAGGAAATCATTCATTTATATAAAAGAACAAGTTACATAGCTTCACATGGGAAACTCGAAGAAAACTGAAAGTAACCCACGAAAACTCAAAGAAAATCGCAAATGACTGATAAAAATTTGGGCAAGGGTTCGACAATGACATGGTTAAGTTTGGTAGTGTTGTTGTCGCCGTGCTAAAGCCTGAAGCAGACAAAGCTGTTGAGCCTGTTGACGAGTTTAACTTGAGGTCTGCTGAAGAGTTCCCACAGCTAAAAAGGGTGTTAGTTGAGAAGAGTTATGTCATTGAAGGGAAGTTTGCCGCTAGGACCGTTGGGGTCATATGTTGCCCCTGCTGGTCTAACTGTCTCTGCACCCGCTACAGCAGAAGGGAAGAGTGTGCAAGTTGTTGGTGAGCTTATTGCCAAGGAGAGTTTGACTTTTGGCCCGATCCCCAAAGAAGATGATGTTGCAACCTAAAGCCACTGGACCGATTCTGCAAAGAGCACCAAAGTTGAGGAAATCAAGAAAGGTTCCAAACCTGAAGAAGTCTTTCCTGTTTCAAGCCTTCTTTAGAAGAAGTCATCCACTAGTCACCCTCAAATGACCTTGTGACTGTTAAAGGAGGATCAATTGAGGCAACTTTGGAGAAATTAAGTGCGGATATTAAACAATTATCTGAAAAAAGAAGAAATGAACCTTATGATGAGGAGGATTTGACAAGCTATATGAAAGAGGATTTTGCAGAAGTTCACGTCATTTAGACCAGAGCGTC